AGTGAGAATTCTCACATAGGTCTGAGATTTAAAAAAAATATCCAAAAAATTAGCCAGGTGTAGTGGCACACACCTGTAGTCCCAGCTATTCGGAGGCTGAGGCAGGAGAATCAGTTGAACCCAGGAGACGGAGGTTGCAGTGAGCCAAGATCGCTCCTGGGTGACAGAGTGAGACTCCATCTCAAATAAACAAATAAAAATAAAACAAAATAAAAAGATTAAGGTTTTTTTTTTTTTTTTTACCCCCCTCAAGATCCAGTTTTCATCTCTTGGAGGTGATATTACCCACGTTGCGAATACAGCATGCCCTTTACATGGCTTCCTTTAATGTTAACATCTTCCATAACTGTGTAGCACAACTAATAAAACTAATAAATTAACACTGATACATTATTAATTAACTATAGACTCTATTCACATTTTACAAGTTTTACCGCTAATGTCCTTTTTCTGTCAGGCGCTAATCCAGGATCCTGCATTGCATTTGGTTATCAGGTTTCTTCAGTTTTCCCTAAACTGTGACAGTTCTTCAGTTTTTCCGTGTCTTTCATGACCTTGAGACTTTTGAAAAACACTGGTTGGTTATGTATAGTGCCCTTCGATTTGAATTTTTCTGATGTCTTCTCATGATTAGGTTGAAGTTATATATTATTGAAAAGAATTACATGGAGATGATGTGTAACATATCAGAGAATAAAGGGGAATGACCTGTCTTATTAGTGGTGATGCTAACTTTGATCATTTGGCTACGATGGTGCTTTTCAGATTTCTCCACTTTAAAGTGATTATTGTTTTCTTTTTAATTAGTAGATATTTCTTTGGGAGGGATATTTTCAGATGACGCAAATACTGTGTTTCTCCTTACACTTTCACTTACTAATTTTAGCATCCATTAGTCAATGATGCTTGTAGAAATTATTGTGGTATTCTAATAGTGCTTTTCTGTTTCCTTTATTGTTTCTACATTTATTAATTGGAATGATTCTTTAAGGAAGATTATCTCTTCTACTCCATTTATTTATTCAGTTATCATTTATATCAGTATAAGCCCAACAATATTTATTTTATTCCTTGGTTTATAATTCAATCCTATTTTTATTTACCTTCTTGCTCAAATAACTTTGGTAGGAGCTCTTTCAGATTAGCTCCTATGCCCTTTTCACATGTTGTTATCCTCTTTGAGCATTTTCTGACATCACAATTTGTTCCAGGATTAACTCGTATTTTGTCTGACTCAGCCCGAAACCAATCACCTCCTCCGTGAGCCATGGTTCCTTTTACCGGACAATTTACCAGTCTAGCCTAGGACTCTGAAGGAGTTAAAAAACAAAATTTGGGTATTACTTGTTGTGTCAGTTCATTCTTGCATTGTTATAAAGAAATACCTGACACCGGGTAATTTATAAAGAAAGAAGTTTAGTTGGTTCATGATTCTGTAGGCTGTACAGGAAGCATAGCAGCTTCTGCTTCTGGGGAGGCCTCAGGAAACTTCCAATCATCGAAGAAGGCAAAGGGGAAGTTAGACATTTCAGATGGTGAAAACAGAAAAGGGGGGGTGGGAGAGAGAGACAGAGAGAGAGACACAGAGAGGGAGGGAGGGAGGGAGGAGGTGCTGCACATTTTTAAGCCACCAGATATCAGGAGAACTCACTCACTATGGTGAGGATAGTACCAAGGGGGATGGTGCTAAACCATTCATGAGAAACCATGATCAAATCACCTCCCACCAGGCCCCACCTCCAACACTGGAGATTGCATTTTAACATGAGATTTGGTGGGGACACAGAGCCAAGCCATATCAGGTGTATTCCTTGCTATTGGGGTGTTACCTCTTCTAAAGATTGTGCTCCTTTTACTTGTATTAAAAAAAGGTAGCTGTAAAACAGCCTCAAGCAGGTTCTTCAGGAGGTGTTCCCGAAGAAGACATTGTTGTCATAGGAGATGACAGCTCCACTATTGTCCCTGAAGAACTTCCAGTGGGATGAGAGGTGGAGGTAGAAGACAGTCATATTGACAATCTTGACCCTCTGTAGGCCTAGGCTAATGTGTGTGTTTGTGTCTTAGTTTTTTTTTTTTTTTTTTTTTTTTTTTTTTTTTTTTTTGAGACGGAGTTTCACTCATGTTACCCAGGCTGGAGTGCAATGGCGCGATCTCGGCTCACCGCAACCTCTGCCTCCTGGGTTCAGGCAATTCTCCTGCCTCAGCCTCCTGAGTAGCCGGGATTACAGGCACGCACCACCATGCCCAGCTAATTTTTTGTATTTTTAGTAGAGACGGGGTTTCACCACGTTGACCAGGATGGTCTCGATCTCTTGACCTCGTGATCCACCCGCCTCGGCCTCCCAAAGTGCAGGGATTACAGGCTTGAGCCACCACGCCCGGCCTTGTGTCTTAGTTTTTAACAAAAATGTTTAAAAAGTAAAAAATAAAAATTTTAAAACTAGAAAAAAGCATATAGAATAAGAATATGAAGAGAAAATACTTTTCTACAGCTATAGAATGTGTTTAAGCTAAGTGTTATTAAAAAAGAGTCAAAAAGTTAAGAAAATGTGAGTGCATAAAGTGAAAAGTTACAGTAAGCTAACATTGTTTTTGAAGAAAGAAAAAATAAAAAAAAATAATTCCAGTGTGGCCTAAGTGTACAGCCTTTATAAAGTCTACAGTAGTATTCTGTAATGTCCTAGCCCTTCACATTTACTCACCACTCATTTGCTGATTCACCGAGAGCAACTTTTGGGTCTGTAAGCTCCATTCATGATAAGCGCCCTATATAGCTATACCATTTAAAATCTTTTATACTGCATTTAACTGTTCCTTTTCTTTTTCTTTTTTTTTTTTTTTTTGAGACGGAGTTTCGCTC